AAATTAATACTCTTTCAAATTTCTTGATGAGCACAATATATAATTCTTATTAAATTAATTCTCCATATAATAATACTCCACCCGTCTCAGAATAATAGATTTTTTTATTTAGAATTTGAATAATAGTTGTTTATATTTTAAAGGAGATAAATATTTTCTAACTTTAACCTTCTAATTGTCTTTTAGTTTTATTTATCCATCTTATCATTAAAAAAAAAAAAACTCTTTTTTTATTTCTTTTTTCTAAGAGTCAAATAGGTAAAAATAGAAATTGTCCTCAAATCCTTAATCCCTAAATAAAAACATAAAACATCTATTATTATGAGACAGAGAGCATACTTAATAGTATTCTAATTATATCAAACTTCTTACTAATTCTTCTCAAATTTCATTTCAATTACCATATAATAATATGAATTATATATCTACCTATTATTAAAGTTTAAACAACTTACCCAAATATATGATAAGAAATCTACTTCAATCATATAATGTGTTTAGCGTAAATAAATATTATATATATTATATTCAAGAAGTACATATAATCTATATATTTTTAAATAATGAATTATAATTTATCTTTTTGGAACTAAGGGAGTAATAATTAAGATATAAATCATTTTAAATGAATATATTTTTGAATAATAATTATTAAAATTAGAGAATTATAAATAACTACAAATTATGGTACATATAATTGATGTACATCAACTTGAAAGACCCATTTGAAAAGTACAAAAAATGTTATAAACAAGCTATCATAGCATAAGTGGGAAAATAAGAGAACGAACTTTCAAGAAACCTAACAAAAAAAAAAAGTGTCTTTGCGAGGAATCTAAAAATGCTTTGATATTCTCTTTCTCAAAAGTCTAAACTATCAAAAACTTATAAAAATGGTAAAGTAAGAACCTTTACAAGCTTTCAATATATTCATTAAGATAAAAAGTTTAAACAATTCTAATATACATAAAATGAGACAGAAATTAGGGTAAAAATTATATATAATAATAAATATAGATGCAATTAGTGAATAAGAAAGAATAGTATTGAGGGAATAAGAATAAGGAGAGAAAGGTTAATAACAAAGAAATTAGAGAAAAATGAGGATGAATGTAGATCAAATAGATGTTAATCAAAAAAATATAAAATTGATAGATAATATAATAATAAAATGTGGGAGAAAAAACTAAGGGAAGGATTTCCAAGAAAAATGGATAAAAGGTGAAATATAGGTAAGAAAAAAAAAGGTTCCAAGAGAGAAAAACTGAAGTAAAAAAAAGATATATTTGATAGATAAATATTTAAAAGAATGACTAAAAAAGAATATTAGAAAAGAGAGTATAATGGGAGAATAAATAATAATGAATAAATTACTAATATAAAGAGAAAAAAGGAGAGAGAAAAATTAGGTAAAACTTATAGTGTGGATATGTATATGAATTTATTGCATATATTACTTAATTATTTATATGTTAAAATATTTATATGTATTTTTATAGTGAGAAAATATAAAACATCTACAAATAGATAGAAAGAGGAAAATTGGATAAATATATATATATATATTTATATATATATAAAAGATAGAGAGAGATGCAAGGGATAACTAAGAAAGAATAATAAAGAGGGGGATGTGGAGAGAAAGAATAACAATAAATAAATTATTAATATAAAAAAAGAAAAGTGAAGGCAGATACAGTTTAAAATGATAAATATAGTGAAAAAAAAAGTGAATTGATAAGGTAAGAGATGGTGTCATGAGAAAAAATAATGAGAGGTGAGTAAAGGTACCTAAAGAGGATACTAATGGAATAATATTAAAAAATTGTATCTTTTATGTGTTAATTTAAAACATGTCTAATGTAAATAAGGGGAAAGAGAGAATTAGAATAGAAAAGAATATATAATGATTGATGGAGGTGTAAGAAGTGATTAAAAAAGAATAGTATAGTGAAATGATAATGTGAAAGAGAAAAATAATAACAAATAAATTATTAGTATAGAGAGAGAATATGATAGTAAATATAAGTATATAAACAAATATAAAGAGAAAATATATGAAGATGAGTTAAGAGATGACACAGTAGAGGATAATATTAATGAGTTATATTATTTAAGTTTTGATTTAAAAACTTCGAACATTGGCATTTAGAAGAGATGAGACAAATTGAGGCAAAGCAGAGATATAGAATAGGAATAGTTATAGATGCAAGGATAAAAAAACTAGTAAAGATTTGGTTAATTATTTCATCATGTTTGTCTCAAAAAATTTTAATTAATATAGCATTCAAATATCTATTTATAATGAATTAGTATGTGTTTGAAATTACATTTATATTCATTAATTAAAAACTAATTTTAATTATAAATTAATTTTATTATATTTAACAATTATAAAAAAAAGTACTCCCTCTTTTTATTTTTAGTAGATCTAATTTGATTTTTTTTTTTTTAAAATATAAATTTTAGATGAAAATTTAACAATATGTATGAACTACAATTGAAATTTTTTTTAATTAAATAAAAATACTCAACAGGAAATATTTATAAAAAAATTGTAAATTGATATTTATATAAATTATTAAATTTTTATTGAAAATTCATATCTTAAAAATAAAAAAATCAAATTTAACCTATGAGAGAATATAATAAAAATGTTAAAACCTCACTTTGGTCCCTAAACTATTGTATGGACCCTCGATTTGGTTCTTAAAAAAATCCCTGATATGATATCTACTATTTACTAATTTGACCCCAAGTTGATCATTTTGTTAAAAATTCACAATTAACTCACAGGGAATTAATGACATGTCAAAAATTTAAGACATGTCAGATAAAAATGATGACATGGCAACATGACATGTTATATTCTTTGCCAACACCAAAAAAAAAAGTGAAATCCACCAAAATTACAATTTTGCCCTCATCTTCTTCCTTTGGCATCCTTTTTCTCGAATCTTCTTCATTCATCCTTCTTTTTCTCTCTCTTTGCCTCCTTCGAGTGAACTTTCATCACCATTTTTCTAAATCAAACAATTAATTCAATGAAATGGAATTCTATTCTTCATCAATCAATTCTTTATCATCATCAAATAACAAAACCCACAAAAAAAATTTTTTTTCTTTTATTTTTTGCCCTTAGGTTTGATGGAACCCAGGACTTGGGGTTGAAGGAACCCAAGACCTGGGTTTGAAGGAACCCAAGACCTGGGTTCCAAGGAACTCACACTTGGGTTTGATGGAACCCAAGCGTGCTGGGTTCGAGGAACCCATCAATTGGGTTTGAAGAAAAAAGGTTCGAAGAAAAAAGGAAAGAATTTTTTAAGTTTTATTTTTCATATTAATATTTTTTTATATTATTATTTTTTCCATGTCATTATTTTTTGTTATATTGTCTTCTACTTGTGTTAATATTTTACCATGTCATCATATAGCTATGAATTAATGAGACATGTCATGAGGTTTTTAACGAAAAGACCAAGTTGGTGTTTAAAATGGTAAATAGTAAGAACCAAATCAAAGATTATTTAAGTTTAAGGATCATATCGGGGTCTGTATAATAATTTAGGGATCAAAATGGGGTTTTAACCTAATATAAATAAACCTGTAGCGTGATTTTAAAACCTAATTTTTATATAAAAAGGCGCTGCTATAGGACTGCTGAGGCAGATAGGGACTAACCTTTTCTTTTTTCTCCTTTTCACTATAAATTTTTTAATTTTTAAAACTTATTAGGTTTTTTTAATTCTTTAGTCCTAATTCATTTTTAATTGCAATCTCAATCAAAATTGTAAACCCTAACACTTGAAGTATTGAACTCTAAAAAATTTATACCCTAACATCCTAAAAATTAAATTTTAAGAAATCTAAAATCATAATACTTTAAATCTTGAACTCAAAAAATAATATTAAACCCTAAGACATTAAATATTAAACCTTAACATTCAATCATTAAACCCTAAAAAATTGAATACTCAATTTCTTAAATTAAAATTATTTATTGGATTTTAAAAACTTAATTGATGTCTTTTTAAATTTAGAGGCTTAAAGTTATAATTCTTTAAATGTGAGGACTTAAGATCTAGTTGTGCCTTTTTCTTCTGAAGACAAGCACCTTTTCATTTGTAGGAACGGAAATTACCAAAAAACGAAAAAAAAAAAAATGGAAATCAAACCGACGAGGCATTGCCACTGCCGCGTCCGCTCGGCCTCCAACGCTGTGGGGACTCGGGCCACAATAGCATTATTCATATAAAAATCGATGAAAGAAAAGATGTATTTATTGCATCTTAAAAACTTATTTTTAATCTCATTTATTATAGTAGTTAAAATTTAATAAATAGTAAATAATGAGTAATAGATAATAAATAACAGCAATAAAGAATAGATAACGATCAATGGATAATGAAAATTGAGTAATGAATAGTAAATACTAAATACTAAATTTAATTAATATAATTATTTAATTATATAATAATTAACGATTATT